ATCCATCCAGTGAAGACATCCCGGTGCTGCTGGGTAGCTCGACAGCATTCTGGCCCGAACAGATTCACCAAACCCGCAATACATGTTTGGCGAAGGCTGACGATCAACTCCAGCTGTGCTTACAAAGCGAAAACATGAATCGAACGCAAAACATGGACTTGTTCCCTTGGACCACTACCGGTCAGCTGCATTGTATGAAGCAAGCTCTCTAATGATCAACATGATTACGCGTTCAATCGTTTTCTCAGTGCAAGTCCATCAGCAGCCGCAAATCATCAGCGAGCAGTTGCATGCGTTCATTCAGAATCTGCATCAGCCAAATCGGTGTTTATGTAGATTGAGAACAGCAGTCTGAAACAAAGCAAGAAACAAAGAATTGTAACAAGAAGCTACTAGTAGCTAGGGCATCGCTACCAGGAGCAAGGACGCTACTAGTAGCTCCTGGCCTTCCTACTAGGAACAAGAAGCTACTAGGGCTTTGTTTCATATGCGTGTTCTTTGAATCGATTGGCGCCTGCTGGTCCCGCCGAACATCTGCATCCGCTTCAATACAAACATCAATTTTTCCGATGATGTACCTGAGGGACCATCCCCTGTCATCTGCAACTGCACTGCTGGATCGCAGGAATGGCAAAGCGATTACGCAAGCTTCCAGTTGTGCAAGTCTTTTCAGTTGTGCAGCACAAGAAAACATAAAAGAATGGTCTAGAGGTCCAAGTAAAGAAATAGAAACAACAAAGGAATAGATGAAAAGATGAAAAGCATATTAAATTACACCACCGTAGACCCCAAACAGTTTGTGTTTTTCAACATCGAAACTAGAGCTTGGACAAAGGATTGCGCAAGGCAGAGGCGGCCACAGCAGCCCAGAGCTGGGAGACAAATGTAAAGGGTTGCAAGGCAGAGACGGACACAGCCGTACAGAGCAGGCGGACATATCTTAAGAAAAGAATTGAGAAGCCCTAAACCTTTTGGGGAATTATTCTTCAAGTGCGAACATGATGCTGGTCATGCTGCTCAATCAGCGGGGAGCTGACCACGTGAGGACAAGAAACAAAAGCGTGAGGAGCGAAGGATGTGACATGAAATTGATTTTTGGTGCCTGACGTATGCCCTCCGTCCCAACTGAACAGAGAGATCGCTGCCACGCCGCCGAAATCCAATCCGGTCATTCATCCAACGCTTGCCCGAAAAGGAAAACAAAGCTGAGAGAGTTACACACTGCGGCAGGAATGCAACCCCGGAGACAGTCACGCACCCATTTCAAAGGAGCAAGAACCTTTCACAGGTGAACCTGTTCCAGCGGACAGGGCAGAAAACACCAGTGCAGGCACCAAACCTGAAAGACAAAAAGAAAGAAATCACATGGGAGACAAATGAATAGAAATGCTACATGGCCAAAAGAGATGTGGTAGACAAATGAATAAAAATGCTACATGGCCAGCAGAAAAGGGCGGACACCAGCAGTGACAGATCCGCGAAACACATGAATAGAAATGCTGCATGGCCAGCGGAAAAGGGCGGACACCAGCAGTGACAAACCTGAAAAACAAATGAATAGAAATGTTGCATCGCCAGCGGAAAACGGCGGACACCAACAGCGACAGACCTGGGAGACTAATGAATAGAAATGCTGCATGGCCGACGGAAAAGGGCGGACACCACCAGACAAATGAATAGAAATGCTACATGGCCAGCGGAAAAGGGCGAACACCAGCAGTGAGAGACCTGGGAGACAAACGAATAGAAATGCTACATGGCCAGCGGAAAAGGGCGCACATCAGCGGAAAAGGGCGGACACCAGATGGCCAGCGGAAAAGGGCGCGAACCCGACCAGAAGCACTCAGCCTGGGAGACAATGAAAAGAAGTGGGAGACAGTTGAAAAGAAGTGGGAGACAAATGAAAGGAAGTGGGAGACAAGCCAGC